AATTTCATTGCTGCCAATCTGTACTACATATGCTTGCATATGCAGCTTCTATGTAAAGGAATCTAAAAAGCTCAAGAACAACACTTACTCAAATAATCTAGAAAGATTTGAAGAAGAATTACAAAAGTTTTATTAGGATACACTAGCTCAAGAGGATATCTTATGGTTCCAAAACTGTAGGCCTAGGTGGATAACTTTAGGAGACAGAAAACAGTAGATACTTCCATGTCTCTAATATTATAAGAAGGAAGAAGAATAGACCTCAAGCCTTAAAAAATTCACGAGGTGTGTGGGATGACCGATCAAGCACAAATTTCTAATGAAATCCCAACACTTTATAGGAACCAATTCACTAATGAACGAGATTACTCTGTTGATCTCACATATCACAACTATCAAGCTAAACTAACAGATTGAGAGAAAAGTATTCTTGAACTTCCTGTAACAGATGAGGAAATTAGAAGACAACATTCAAACTCAAAAGCGTGAAAGCTCCTGGACCCAATGGATTGCAGGCCTATTTCTACTGGAAAATGTTGGGATGTAGTTGCAAATTCGGTATGTCTACTAGACAACACAATTCAGACTTATTAGTTTGGGTAACATTTGCTATAAAATCCTTACTAAGCTTTTTCAGGTTAGAGAAGTCCTCAATAAAATGATATCGATAAATAGAGGGTAAATTCAATTTTTCCCCCGAAAGATTCAAAAATTTTCATCTTGCCCCCTCAAAGAATAAAAAACGTTGTAATGTGATCCACCGTGTTATTTCCGTTTGGTCGTCCATCTATTTTATGTCAAATTAACAAATCAAGAATCACAAAAATAAATATTGTGATATGTCACAAATTGCATCTATGAAAATAAATGTTGATCTAATCCTACGTTATAACATTTGCAAATATTATTCTACATATTTCCAAAATGAGATATATTGCTTTTGTTTTCATAGACCGATGGAAAATCTTAGGCCGTGTTTGGTTATCATCTCGAAAACAATTTTTTGTTCTCAAAATTTTAAAAACACCAAAAACTTATTTGTTTAGTATTTTTGCTCTCTAAATTTTGAGAAAAAAATGAGATTTGAGTTAAAAAACAGAAAATAAGTGTAACTTGTTTTTAAAATTTTCTTTGAAAATTTTAGAAATAAAGAGAAAAATTTTGGATCTTCAAATATGGATGTATATATATATATATATATATATAACGCTGGGTAGCCAAGTGCAGAGCAGATAACTGTTGAAAGCGTCTAAGTAGTAAGCCCACTCCAAGATGAGTGTTCTCTTATTCCGATTTCCCCAGAGCCTCTGGTAGCACAGTCGAGACAGCGACAGGTTCTCTGCCCATGGGGGAAAGGAGCGACAGAAGTTTTGAAAATTCAAGAAAAGGTCACGGCAAGACGAGTCGTTTATTATTACGATAGGTGTCAAGTGGAAGTTGCAGTGATGTATGCAGCTGAGGCATCCTAACAGACCGATAGACTTGAACCTTGTTCTTACATGACCCGATCAATTTGATATATATATATATATATATATTGTGTCAATCTGAAAATAATTTTTTTATATATTTTTTATTAATGTTTGAATTACTGTTCAAATATATATTTAGGTTGTCCAAACAGGTTTTACTATTTTCTGTATTGTAAAATTATTTTTGAAATCATCTAACCAAACAAGTTTTTTATCTCAAAAAATATCAAACCACTTTCTTAAAACTCTTTTCAAAAATTATTTTCGGATACTATTTTTTGAAACGTAAACCAAACATGCCCTTAGTTTTGTTATATGACCCATAATTCTTTCTAATTTTAGGTGAGACATCCACAAGAATAACCTTAGTGACTGCCCTAAACAATCCTATAAGAATCCAATATGATTATGATATGTAACAGATTGCACCTATGAAAGATCCTATCATTATGATATCTGCAATAGTCTTGTACCTATTTTCATAACTAAAGTCAAATTGAGGGTTAATGATGTAGACCCAAATCTTTTCTTGCACTTTGAAAAACACTGCAGGTAGAGAGAAACCTAGGAAGACCATTCCTGCGAGCCCATTAACTAACATCACATTATTAGACCCACAGTACACAAGTCAAAAAAGAAGATTGAGTTAGGTGACTTAACCGAGCCATGACTGTTATCAACAATTCGTTGTCATCCTCAAATCCGTTGTCATCTGGAAACCAGAAAATATGCCATTGAAAAGCTAATGTCAGCTGCCACTAATCAAAATAAGCACAAGAAGTACTCAAAATAAAACAGCATTGAAATGCTCATAAATAGTTGAATTGACACACTCCAAAGGTCCAAAGCACATGAAAACTGGAACAGGAGAAAAAACATTGACCACTGCAAGCAACTTTCAAATCCGTAAATCGTCATCTCAAGATGCTAGAAATCTATAGTTTTCATAGATTTAATGTGCAACTCCCACAATACTCATGGATCAAATAAAAACATTTTCCCTAAAAACTTTCAAAGATCTCCACAACTTTCATAATAAAAAAAAATTCTCAAATCAAAATATACTAACCCACAACAAATCACAAACAAATAACTGTCAAAGATGCCATAAAAGTAATTTATAGGAGGATATTGTACCTCGTTTGAAAGGAACTAGTTAGATTAACGATACAACAAAGAACAATGAGAGTGAAGGTTGCTCCGGCGTCGTTAATAGTCAACGAGAGAAAAGGTTAGTGTTGTCGACGGTCAGCGAGTGAAAGAACACACTGACGCCATCGACGGCGACGATAGTTGCCAAAGTGGAAGAAGACGTTCGTTCACAGTAGAGGTATTGGACTATGGAGAGAGTTACGATGGTGAGAAAGAAAAAAGAGTAAAAGATAAAAATGAATGGGTTAAAGTGAGTTTGGATAAGTAAAACCTTTATTTTTTAACTTTTTTTTGGACTTATTTAAGTGGTAAAATAATTTTAATTTTTTTAAATTATTTTTATTAAGTAATCCCGGACACTACTTTTTTTTTCAAGTAGTTATAATAACTAAGTCAAAAGTCTAATAAATAATTTTTTTTAAGTCAATTCAAACACACTTTAAATTTATTAAATGATATATTTTAGGAAAAACTTTATCCACACTCTTTCTAGATAGATATATCTTCAATGAGACCCTTTCTATTTTATAAATTTTTTTGAGTATTAAAATTTGGACCGACTAAAATTTGATTCGAGCCGAATAAAATTTGTTTTGAATCAATTCAAATTAAATTTTAATTAATTCACATTTAAGTTTAATCGGTCCAAATTTTAATACATAAAAAATATAAATTTTAATACGTAAAAATGAATTTTAATTGTCACTTATTTTTATAAGTAAAAAGAATATAAATTTTAACGACTCTAATCAAATTTTAATGGGTGTTGACGGCTCAAGTTGAGTTCAAATTAATTCGAATTTTAATACATAAAAAAATAAAATTCAATTAGCTTGAATTGAATCAAATTTTAGTATATATAAAAAATAAATTTTAATCGAATTAAATTTTATTTAAAATGCTTGTTTGGGGTTTATATAAGGATAATTTTGCTATTTTAAATACAATTTTTTTTTATTAGAAATGGTGGTTTAATGACAAGGGGTGTTAATGATGTTTAAATATAAATTAAAAGGAGAGTCAGTGATGTTTTAAACAATATAAGTGATATCCTTGAAAATATGATAAACAAGAATAAGTGTGACTAAAATTTTCCCTTGATAATATTTAGATCGTATTATTTTGTTCGTAATTATATTTGAGTCATTTTATTTTGAATCGCATCATGATAATGTTGTATTTAAATTTACCGGCCGAAATCATAAACCTTAGTTCTCAAGACTATAACTCCCTTTCACTCAATCAAATTCATTAAACATAATTTTTTCACAAAACTTAAAATTCATTTTATCCATATTTCAATTAAACCAAAGAAAAAGAATATGCATTTATAAAATTATTTGCACAATACATACTAAAGTAATTTTTTTTTTCTCTTTTGAGTCAAAGATGAGTTTGTCATTGATGATGCTCGAAAATAATAACCCCAAGTCCAACAAATGATGTTCTGGGGGTATTAGTGGTTTAGTCAAATATCAGGTTAATCTAAGGACCACAAGAATACAATGTGTGAGTGGTTTGCCTCAACCAGGAGACTAAGACTACGTCCATTGTACTAGGAATGTATATGATTCAAAGAGGTTACAACGGCATACATTGGCCCAAGGCCTTTACAAAAATGATATTGCTTCTAGCTTAACTTTGTGTGTTTTTGGTCTACCAAAGCATAACCAAAAAAATCCCTTTTGTTCGATAACAATGTCTTATTTATATATTGACTCTTCTAAGGTTTTCTGTTGCTCCTTTTTTTTTGTAGATTTTGTGGAACCTCCTGTCTCTGTCCTGTAACGACCACTATTCATCCAACACTACTATTGTCACGATCCCTAAATAGTTATGCTCGCCAATCCCCTCTGCTCTATAGAGTACATGATTGTCGTAGGCATCAAAACTGGTTCTTTTTGTTCTCAAGACATGTGGTGCGACAGGAGTGTTCCAGGATTGGCGTTGGGTTAGGCTCCTTTATACTGAGCTGTCATGGGCTGAATTAGGACTGGGTTGAGCCTCAGATTTTCTGGTATTGTTAGGCTTTACCTTTGGGTCTAATTCACTCTACTTTTGGTGTGGACCGGCTGTTGGTGTTCCTATTTGGGCCGTTATGCGGATCAAGGGTTTCTCAGATTTTATTAGGCTCTTAGACCATGGCGGCCCAAATCCGGGATTCCATCATTATCAATCATATTAAAAAAATTAAGTTATTTAAATGCAACACAAATTTAATTAATTATAATTCAAATTAAAAAATTCATATATTTTCCACTTTCATATCATATTGAGTAGGAAAAAATATTTGTTGTATATAATTTATTAGTTTAATTCATCATAAATACAATGAATCCTGATTAACACCGAAATTCATTATAAATTTAATAATAATAATAATAATATATTATCACTATAAATTATGTTCAAATATTATTGTTCGACAAATCGACTTTGTTACTTTAATTTTAACACCAAGATATTTGAGGCATGGGTCTAGTAATAATCAGGTTGTGGAACTTGTGGTCTATATAAGTCGAAATGCTCTCTCTAATCCTTCGATCCTCGCTCAACCCATTTTTTATTACACGCAACACTAGCTCCGCTCTGCTCTGTTCTCTCTCTCTTAGTCAACCATGTCTATGGCAACAACTGCCCTTCTTTTCCTCTGGTTTGCTGCTATATCATACGCAGCAGACATATCCATCACTGCTCACAACGACAAACCCATCCCCGAATCAGCATGGCGAAGCGATGAGGAGGTGATGGGTATATACCAATCGTGGCTTGCCAAGCATGGCAAAGCTTCCAATGGGTTGGACACGAAGGACGTAAGATTTGAGATTTTTAAGGATAATTTGAGGTTCATCGATGAACACAACTCAGAGAACCGGACGTACAAGGTGGGATTGAACCGGTTTGCTGATCTTACCAACGAGGAGTACCGGTCCATCTATTTGGGCACCAGAACAGACGCTAAGCGCCGGTTCCTGAAGTCCAAGACGAAGAGCTATAGCCAGCGTTACGCTGTTCAGGCTGGAGAAAAGTTCCCCAAGTCCGTTGATTGGAGAGAGAGTGGTTCTGTTGCTCCGATCAAAGATCAAGGCAACTGCGGTAAGCTTTTCGATTCTATCAATTTCTCATCGCTGACTCGTATTTTGTCGTGTGGTGTTATGTTTATAGTATATGTGAATTGGTATTCATAGAACATAGTATAACATGAACAGATCTGTCGAAATTTGATCCAAAATCTCTAATCTAATTGTCACAAAAGATTATAGGATTTCCAAAAACTAAAAATAAATAAAATAAATAAGTTAACAAAAATATCATTTTTGCTGTGATTTATCATATATCTGATGATAAAAATAACGTTATCCTCTTCATTTAGGAGTTTTTTTTATTTATTAATTCATGATTAAATTTTTTATTTTCGATACCAAAAAAAAAAAAAGGAAAAATTTGGGGATGGTCTGTTGGAAGACTGATGGGTTTGGGCTTTTTGTTGAAGACTGTTTGGTGTCAAACCTAAAATAGTTGTCCTAAATCCAACTCACAGTCTTTGTTTTTTGGTCTGTGACCACCCAACAGTCAAAGTTGCAACCTTCCGATATGATTTAGAATTATTGATGAATTTGAGCTGAGAGACGTAATTGAAACAGGAGTTAAAGTCTAAGGGCTTGATTGTTTTAATTTATATTTCATGGACCAGATAGAAATTAAGCAAAACACTACCCAAGGTGTTCACTTTATCCGTCATAGATTTTATTTATTATTGGTTAGTGATATTATATCATCAATTGTGACATGGTATCGCGGTTTCATCGGATATTTTTTCATTGTTGTGGCACAAAATGGTAAGGATTTGTTTGAAATAAAATCTATATATAGGGATGTGATTAGGGGCGGTTTGACTCCTAAAGCAGGAACTCCGAAGAGGGCATTTTATGTTTAGTATTGAAAATTCTGTGGTCGAAATCTCATGGGCCTTAAAGCCCCTAAGCCTGGAATTACTTTTCCAAGTTTGAACTAATGCAATCTGTTGCCTGCTGACCAACAGGGAGTTGCTGGGCCTTCTCAGCGATAGCTGCTGTTGAAGCCATAAACCAGATCGTAACAGGGGAGCTGATCAGTCTATCAGAGCAAGAACTCGTCGATTGCGACACAGGCCGAAATGAAGGATGCGATGGAGGCTTCATGGAGTACGCCTTTATGTTCATAATAAAAAATGGCGGTATAGACTCTGAAGATGACTACCCTTACCTGGGCGATGATGGTGTCTGTGACCCCATTCGGGTCAGTCTCTAAGCCTATCTAAATTTTAGCGTACTCTTATTGGACCGGGCCTGAATGTGTCGATGCTTTATTTTGATGTTTTTGATGTGTTTGCTTGTTTCAGAAGAATGCTAAGGTGGTTAGCATAGATGGGTACGAGGATATTCCACCTTTCGATGAGAAAGCATTGCTGAAGGCTGTAGCACATCAACCTGTCAGCGTAGCCATTGAAGCCTCGGGCCGGGCTTTACAACTCTACTCATCTGTAATTAGCATCTTACGACTCTACCAGCAAATGTATAGTTTATGGAGATAATAACGTTGCCTTATTATCCTAGTTGCTTTTTTCTTAAAAATTCTTCAGGGCATATTTACTGGTGAATGCGGAGCAGCTTTAGACCACGGTGTAGTTGTGGTTGGGTATGGCACAGAAAATGGCATGGATTACTGGACTGTGAGGAACTCATGGGGGACAGAATGGGGCGAGAATGGATATTTTAGAATGCAGCGCAATGTGGTTGGCAGTTACACCGGGAAGTGCGGAATTACGATGGAGGCTTCTTACCCCACCAAAAACCCGACTAATCCTCTGGTTGTAGGAGGCACAGCAGAAGAGATAGCCAGTGCTTGAAACGTAACTTGGGCTATTTCATGGCCAAGGAAAAGGGCTATGGATGTTCAGTAGTGTATTCTTTTCCTTCTTGCTGTCTATGATTATTATGGATCGACCGACAGATTCATGTATCGTGTTTATCTGGATTGTTATTGTTTGTACATATATTTCAATTTCTCTGCAGCGTGCTCGAAAACAGACACATATTTATCGAAGAATTTTCAAGTACCTCTCTGTCTCTCTTTGTTTATATTTTCATCTGCTTTTAATTTACTAGTTGAGCAATTTCACATCTGCTGATTATTCTGATCCTGGCTTTGGCTCCATGATCTTTTCTTGGCTCTTTTATATCTAAATCAACATTCTCTGTCCTGAAAACTTGATAAGATACTCAATTTTGTTGCTTACCTTTTGAATTTTAACCCAACCTGATACGTCCTTCCTCTTGAGAATTCGGAATTTGTGAGCAATAAAGGATTTATATTTCATCACCAGAGACTATTGCTTAACCTAACATTCACAAAAAACTGACTTGAGTGTTGGAGAGTCTTTGTTATGTACATATTTTTAATATATTTTTATGTGATATAAGAGATAGTTATTAGGTACATATTTTAGTAAGCGGGTTAGTGGTATAGTATTTTGTGGGTAGTTTCCTAGATAGTTGTTAAGATAATGGAATCATAGGTCAAGTTAGGATTGAGTTGATCGACTTGAAACGAAAGTTCACTCATTAATTATCGGACAAGAGAGGATAATGAAAAAGATACATGAATTGTTTCTTACTAAGAATTCGCGCTTTAATCAGTTAATGACCGACCGAGGTCATTCTCATAAGGAAGATGAAGGGTCGACCCATCACAATGAAGGAGGTGAAAATAATGGCCACCCATCTTGTATTTTTGTTCGATCAACTAACCCTCTAACCAGCACAATTTCAAAGCTGGATTTCTCACTATGCAATGGCAAGGAAGATCCCACCATGGTGGTTTCCGTTGTTCATTATAAGGCCAAGTGTCTACTGGAAGGTGTGCATGCATATTATCCACTACTCAAGAAGCACAATGAGGTGATTACATTGTTAAAGGAAGTGCTGCCAATACAATTTGGCCAAATCCAATTTAAAGATGTCCATGAGAACTTTACCTTATTGAAGCCGATCATGAGCTCCTTTCAATATTATAGTTCACTTTTGTCAAGACTACTTGCACAAGGCAGCACGGTGCTTAGACAACAATTAATGGGATGTGGACTCAACAATACCATTAGACTAGATCTTCAAGGAGCACATCCAGCCACATTGAAGTTGATACAAGATTATTGTATGCTTATTAGTGGTGAAAAGAATGATCAAGTCGATTGTAACAAAAATACAGAAGTGGTTTGGCCACCTCCTTTTATATATGATAAATCAAACTTTGGGGACAAAGTTTATTTTAAAGGGGGATGAAATGTTATGTACATATTTTTAATATATTTTTATGTAATATTAGAGGTAGTTATTAGGTAGATATTTTAGTAAGTGGGTTAGTGGTATAGTACTTTGTGGGTAGTTTCCTAGGTAGTTGCTAAAATAATGGGATCATGGGTCAAGTTAGTTATTAAGGTAGTTTTATTATCTTGTATTTAAAGGTCTTACTGTCAATGAAATAAAGATGTTGAATATTATATTGAACTTTCTTATGAAAGTTTTGGAGATTCGGTTCTTCTCGAATTGAGTCATCGGAGGTTTTTATCCCTCGAATCGGGTTTTATTCTTCAATTCTATTTTTTCTTTGTTTTACAAATCACCCAAAATTGTGCACGTAACAGTCTTACTCCAGTGCCACACCATTTTCATCTTAGATCGTTTTGTTCGATCTGTTCTGCAGCCTGTAGGTAATTGTGGTTGTTGTTTGGTCTGTCAACCAATTTCTTGCATTTGCAAAACCTAAGTAGGTTGAATATGACAGTTTAAAATTCAGTGCTTAACCAACAAGGCCTACACTAGTTGATCATTTTGAATTTCTCAAATGCAAGCTCAAAGGTCTTTTTTTTTTTTTTTTGTCAAAGGTCAATCCACTCTAAAAGTAAAAGTTGATATATTGTGCCTATCTAAGCTAGGTACTTTATTATACTTTTTATTGGGATATCCCTTTCACTTCTATGTTGGTGTTTCCTTCTTTCCTCGTGATAAAGATTGACCTGACCCTAATACTTTACCTTGTTAAGTGCCTGCTCCTCTACAGCTGATGTAAATTGATATGATTGTGATATTATCGATTGAATTGCAATAATAATAAACAGTTGCACCTAGAGGTGATAAATGGACGGGTTGGATTGATTATGAGTAAGAGTAACAATTTTTGATATAACACAAAAATACGACTCGAACTTGATACAATATTAGCGGATTAGGATTGATTATTTTTTAATACAAACCCGTAAATGACTTGACCCATTAACACAAATAATAAATGAATTGAGTTAATCTCAAATACCATCAACACGAAATTGACATGATTAATACATTTAACTAATATTATAGAAATAAATTGTTAATTACTTGTTATTGTTTATTAAGTATTGACATAATTATTGTACAAAAAGTACATTTGTACTCATTATTATTGTTATGTTTATTAAATTAATTTTTAATTAAAAAAAATATGACAATGGATTCAATTGATTGATAATAAAATATTATACTTAAATCTTAGCGTTAAGTTATTTATTCGAAATTTATATAAGTCAATACAAATACAAATCCGACACAAAAATAAATTGGTCAATCGACACGACACAATTAATGAAATAGGTTGTGTTAGAATTAACTATTGCTCGACACAAATCCAACAAAACACGACACGATTGTCACCTCTAGTTATGAGTTGGTTCAAAATGAGTTGGGTGCAAAATAAATTCAATCCACTTTTAACCTGCTTAATAAACAAGTTATAATAGATTAGATCACAATAAATCGGGTTAAACCCGTAAAATAATTAAAACTCTTAATATAAACGCATACTAATACCAAATAAAACACATGTTAATACAAAAAATAAAATACACACACTAATACACCGGGGTCGGGGCTTGGGTTCTGGGTCCAAGGGTATTAGTGTGTGTGTGTGTGTGTGTGTGTGTGTTTTTGTTGTGTATTGGTATATATGCATGTATTTTTGGGTGTATTAGTGTGTGTTTGTGTTTTGATATATTAGTGTATATGTGTGTGTGTATTTTTTAGTGTATTAGTGTATATTTTTTGGTAGATTGATGTGTGTATTTGATTTTATTACTTTTGTTATTTAATTAAAAATAAATACTCAACCCAATGAGTACCTATTTATAATCCATTTTAACCTGTTTAATTAAAATGAGTCTTGTTATCCAACTCACCGCATTAATTAATATAGATATTCAACCAATTTATATATAAACGGATTGAATAAGTTAATGGGTAATGGATTAAGATTACCACCACTAATTGCATCCAAAAAAATTCACTGCTTTTATAGTGTTCTCATTTCACCCTTAGGATACACACGAGACATTTATAATCAAGTAAAAAGATTTGGAGCCTCATTCCTGATTTCTTCTGGATTTTCAACTTCAAAGCTCCTACCATTTCACGTGGAATTGAACATTACACCATAAAAATGATTGAAAGGTCATTGTTGAAAATTCATTCCCTAATTACCTTGCTTATGGGCAGAGTGGGAATGTAGTAGTAGTAGTAGTAGTAGGGACAGAGTGCACAACCAGCTATGATTATCCACACCAGTTGGTTTTGTGGGGAATATATGTTCTTTTCCAACTAATATATGTCCCCACTCCCCTTAGTATTACATATATATGGAACATAATATATCTCCACCAACAACTCTCAATTCTTACATTTGCATAAATTTACTAAAACGTTAGATTGGGTCTGTCAATTGAATCGGATGAGAAAGGTTTTTGTCGGGTCTTGGCAGATTCGTGTCAAACAACACTTCACCCATATCTGATTTTTTTATTAATTCATGTCATATCAGGTTCATGTCGTGAATGAATCGTGTACAATTGATATATAAAGGAGTCATGTCGTGTATTTTTTTTAATTGATTTCACTCATATCCAATTTATTTATTAACTAGACACTTATAGGAACAATTAAGGAGAATATCATTTTTTTTCTTAGGTACAGAACACATAAGAATATGGCCAATGGATGGCAGAACAAGCCTAAATATTAAAGTAGTTTATAAAATGACAGTAATCCAAGTTTACAAGGTTCCACGAGGGCTGCCAAGTTGGATTTGGTCAACTTCAACATCAAAAAATTATCTTACACCTTTAATCATATGATGTAGACAGCATGTTTATTTCAAAAGTTAGGGGGGAGCCCACCAAGACAAAGAATTCCAATAAAGCTTTTGTTGCTTGGAAGAAATCATTTCAAAGCAACCAAGCCCAGAACAGCATACCTGCTGAAAGAAATGGTTGCTGTATTCAACAAAGAGCTCTTGAGTTGGTACCTCATTACCCTGAAACTCAAAGAAACTGTAGAAGCCGGAACTCCAAAAATTCAAAGTCCCATAACCACCAGATCAATTGAATTACAAGAACAGCCTCAGCAGCGGCAACGATCCGATTTGCTGCAAGTTGTGATCAACGGTGAAACTGAAAACGTCGAAGAAGGTCCCAAGTCACCGGAATCCGAATGGGTGATTTGCATTAAAGAAAAACTTGAACAAGCCCACCAAGATGATGCAGCAGGTTCATGGGCAAAGCTGTGCATCTATAGAGTACCTCACTGCCTACGGGAAGGCGATGACAAAGCTTACATCCCCCAGATTGTCTCCCTAGGGCCTTACCACCATGGAAGGAGACGCCTACGCAACATGGACCGCCACAAATGGCGTTCCCTGGACCACATTCTCAGACGTAGGAATCAAGACATAAAGCTCTATCTTGATTCAGTAAAAGAACTTGAAGAAAGGGCACGCGCTTGTTATGAAGGAGCAATCAGTTTTAGCAGCAATGAGTTTGTGGAAATGATGGTACTTGACGGATGCTTTGTTCTTGAGCTCTTCCGAGGGGCAGCTGAGGGATTCAATCATCTTGGTTACTCTCGAAACGATCCTATATTTGCAATGCGTGGCTCAATGCACTCGATTCAGCGAGATATGATCATGATCGAGAACCAGATTCCTCTGTTTATACTTGATCGGCTACTAGGCCTTCAGTATGATCAGCCTAAACAGACAGGGCTTCTTGTCAAGCTAGCACTCCATTTCTTTGATCCACTAATGCCAACAGATGAGCCATTGACAAAGAGTGACAGGAACAGATTAGAGTCATCGCTTGGATATACAACAACAACAACATTTGATCCGTTAGCAGATCAGGGTGGCCTTCACTGTCTTGATATTTTCAGACGAAGTCTATTGCGCAGAGGGCCTATACCTGAACCCCGGATTTGGATCAGGCGATGGTCACACGCAAGCCGCGTTGCAGACAAGCGTAGGCAACAGTTGATTCATTGTGTGACAGAACTGAGAGAGGCTGGGATTAAGTTCAAGAAGAGGAAGACTGATCGATTCTGGGACATAAAATTCAAGGATGGGATACTAAAGATACCTCGGCTCTTGATCCATGATGGTACCAAGTCACTTTTTCTTAACCTCATTGCATTCGAGCAGTGTCATCTTGATTGCAGCAACGACATAACATCGTATGTGATCTTCATGGATAACTTGATAAACTCGGCTGCAGATGTGAGTTACCTCCATTACTGTGGGATAATTGAGCATTGGCTTGGCAGTGATGATGAGGTTTCCGACCTCTTCAATCGCCTTTGTCAAGAGGTGGTTTTCGACATCAACGACAGTTATCTGTCACCATTGTCTGTGCAGGTAAATCGGTACTACGACCACAGGTGGAACGCTTGGCGTGCCAGTTTGAAGCACAACTATTTCAGCAATCCATGGGCAATCATCTCATTTGTTGCTGCTGTGGTCTTATTGTTGCTTACCTTTGCCCAGACATTTTATGGAGTGTATGGCTATTACAATCCACGTTCTTGAATTTATTAAACCCCTCTTCATCTATTATATGTTCACTCTCACAAGTTTTGACCCTTCAGGATGTGGCCACCCTTCCTCCTGCTAAACCGGCCATTTCTGAGCCTATCTTTCTTACCCACATTCAATTCAACGGATGGCTCTCCTCAATTCTTGTGATTCCCAACCCTATTGGCTTGTAATCCTATCACCCTTTCATCTTTACGGAATATGTTGATGATTTCGGATTGATTTATACAGTCTGTTCTTGTGAATTCTGGGTCTAGGACCGGTTTTTTCAGTAAGTTGCACGACATTATTATGAAGGTTTGAAGTTTGAACTGTATTGGAGTTACCACATTATTATGAAGGATTGATTTGTATTGTTACTTTTTCTGAAATATAAGTGGATTCTCAACATGAGTACATTGCTTCTTGCACCTTTCTTATATATGAGAAGCGTTGGGGAATATTGGGTATGAACACCAACACAAAAGAAAGCTCATAATTGCCTCAATTTGATCAACAAATTGACATCCAAACCACTCGAACTTGAACCGATTCAATTAAGGGTGTCCATAGGTTGTGTTATGTTTCTAAGTGTAATTTGTGTCATTTATAAGTGCAATTCATGTCGTGTTGGAGTTTATTCAGACCCATTTATGGTCATGCCTAGTCAAATTTGTGTTAAGGTTAAAGTCATACCCACTAATTTTGTATCGATAATGTTAAGAATTGTCAATCCAAGATTCTATAGATAGTGAGACCACTTCGGGTAAATTACATCTAAATCTCTTTAGGTTTGTCATAATACACATGGACCCCTTGGGCATGAAAAATAACACCGCCATCCCTTCAAGTTTGATAAGATGTAACGTATAAACCCCAGCCGTTATATAGTACGTATCCAATTCCAACCTAGATGATGTCAACATATTTCTATCACAACCCCTAATTTACCCCTGAAATAACCCGGTACCAAACCGTCACCACCACCATTTTTGCATATCCATCGGAAAATTACGATAAAATCCAAAAAATTTATTCAACAGTACACCCTCTCTCATATCATAATAACAGACCATTGAACCTCTCCCACGGGCCAGTCCCGTAGCATCAAGCCCCCTTCCCTACACAACCAGGAATCACAGCCACTAAACCAGAAACACAACCTCAACACACTAAATTGATAACCCCTTCCCTCCTCTGTGCAGGAAGGCGAAACCAAATAGTCCAGGGGGAGGCTTTGCAATATGTCACAGAGATAGGGGTGGAGTAGGAGAGACATGGGGATCCGTGTGTATTTGTAACAAAACTCAAGGGTCTGAATATAATTTATCCTCTCTCTCTTATCAATCTCACAATTGGGTACCAAAGAACTCAAGGTTTAAATCAAAACTTGCACTGCCATATAATGTTAAGAAACCAAATAAACTTTGTGGATACACCATACATAATATGGGGACTAATACTTATACTACTAATAAAATAGCTATGTTACAAAATCTAAATAAAACCCAAAAAGTTATAATTTAAATACATATCATCCCTTAGATGAGTGAACTCCATCGATTTTTTCAGTGGGACCCACTCAACCCACCCTTATCCAAGGAATGATATGCATTTAGATTATGTAACATTTTCCCTAATAAAACACTATTAACAAAGGAGAGAGTAGTATTGGTAGTTATTACTAGTTAATTGCAAGTTTACTATTAATATCCCATGTTCTCTTTCAATTAACCACTTATAACTTTCCCTCTACCACATTTAACTACCTAATTTATCTTTATTCTAATCCTTTCTAACGTCCATATCTTTCTTCTTCCCATCTGCACACGGTACCATGCGTGCACGACCCCCAGTATCTAAAGAAAGGAGTAAAAAACGATTTCTAGGTTATATTCAGCTGCACGAGGGGTAAGGTCACTTGTGCGATGCCACTCTCCGGCTCATGGTGAAATGTGGATAATGAAGCTCACAACTAGAAATGTCCTTATCTTTAAAACTATAATGGTTCCAGCCTAATCATCTACATCAGAAGCTACCATCCAATAAGGTAAACATAGCGGCTGGACTACTTACAGGTTGACAAAACAGGAAGGACGATAGCTTCCAATCGTTAAGCCTGCCTTCCTTTTGAAAACAAATAGCCCATTTCACTGCCCAGACCTGTAATCAAACTTATTGAGAAGTATGCATCCCAAATTATATAACATGATCACCCAGAAAAAGGAAAAATTATTTAAGGTGTCCTGCTATTAAAAGAAGCAACTTGTCTAGCACTCCCTAATAGCCTAATAGTACAAAATGTCTGCAAAGTTGGATCAAATTTCATCAGTGTGCATGCATAGCGTCTTGCTTCTATACAAAAAAAGAAAGAAAGAATGTTAGCAACATTCTTGCCACCTCCAAGCTGAAAATTCCAATGGGACGGTGGAAGCTTCACTGGAGAAAATTCAAAGAAAAGAACAATCATTGGATTGCAGGAATCCATTCTGAGGAGAATTTCCGCTACCAACACATCTTCATTGAGAGCAGAACATGAGAACACTGAACAAAACATTTCAAGTGACTTCTAAAAGCATGAATGTTTAAAATTACCTGTATGCTCTAATTACTAGGAAGGAGGTCTTCATTGTCAGCTGAAGGTTCTGTCTTTTTGTTGTACCGCTGAAACAGAAAATCTATGATTCTTAGAATTGAGGATTCAATGCACTAATAGAGAAACATACAAATCATGCTGACTACAAAGTTGAACATAAGTGGAATAAGGATACCTGTTTTCCAAAGGAAAAAGGAACATATTTGTATTTCATCATGTGTAATATCTGTTTCCTCATAGTAAGCATGAACAGTAACAGCCAGTAGAAAAGAAGAATTGGCCAAAACACGGGCACATCAAACACGCTGAAGAATGTCATCACGAAAGCAATGCAGAAAGCTTTTGTGATCGAGTACCTTTGCCATAGAAAAAAGTCAAGTTCAATCTCGCATAAACAGCAAAAAAACTGGCAATCATACAGCCTTCAAATGGTTCTAGTAGCATCAAGTAGAAGATTCATAAGAAGTAAAGAGTCCAGACTCCAGAATAGCAACATGAACAAAAGCAAACAGAAATTAAAATATTCTTTCACCGTTTACTTGGTGAAAGAATCTTAATTTTGGACACGTGTCTAACGTTTCTTTTGTGATGTGTCCCACACTTCAATTCTTTAGAACATATCTATTACTAAACAATAAACATGCGTTGAAATGTGATTAATAGAGTTTAAGATTTTGCAAAAATATAATTACTAATACTAGATATGTTAAAGTTGTGGTCCAAATATAATAATAAAAACAAAAGATGCACAAAAGTTTAAAAAAAAGGAATTGAGAAAATTGGAGCAATTATTTAAATTACATATTAAGTACACATTGTCTACAAAAAAAAAATTGATGATTATTGATTATTATGATGATACTTTAGTCTAAAACTTCACACTGACTACATATAAGATTTACTTATCATAAAATACCGAATTTTTTATGAATTGCATATCATTATTACTATATTTGTGATAAATTATATAATATTATATAAAAAATATATTTTTATGTAGTGTATCTTCAACGTGTTTGTATCCTACTTTTTAAAGAAATATCGTGTCTGTCGTCTCGTGCTCGTGCTCGTGCTTCTTAGTTTCTCAAGATTAGGTAATTAGTGATACATCCAGCCATAATTTGCTAATTAGTGATCTATCCTCCGTTATTCTAATAAGTTTTCTTACTAAAAATAGTGTGCAAAGTGTGTTCCAGGATCACTTGCAACAAAACAAGGCTCCTGTTTATAGCATGGTGGGTTTGAGAGAGGTACATGACAAAGAGAATAATTTAATTGCAAATCTTTAACTATGTATAAAACAAGAGAAGACAAAGTCTTCCCTCAGTCTCTGTCTATCTCAATTGGCGACTAGCCAAGTTTGTCCATGATTCAAATCCCGGTGCATATTTCGTGCTAACCACGAGTCTCATGTGAGTTCGCTAACTATTTCGAGATGTCTCTCAGTCAATCTCAAGTTGTTCGAGTCATCGTCATTGTATCAGTCATACCGTTCCGCTAAGTCATAATATGGCTTAAATCTATTATTCTGTTAAATTTCTTCTTTCACCTAGTATTTCAATGCCCTCCGAGTCAATAGTCAATACTGTGATCTTGAACCATGATTTCCATTTGGTATTTGCCTTTCTTACTAATAATCATACCAATTAAAGGTTTCTTTCTATATTAAAATTCGAACCATGATATAACTAAATAGGTAACTATCTGAACAGACAATTCCTTATAACCCAAAATACCAGTCTGCAACTTTGTAAAGTAACATATAAAGGCTTCCACTCAAAAACATTCTCCCACTTGTTATTATTTCTGGATTTTCCTGGGATTTACAGCCATCGGAACACAAGAAGAGCATTCACATCAGCCATAAATATTCAGCCTATTAGTTGTGCTAATAAACTTAACCTTTAAAAGAAAACCTTGTTGCCAATCCAAATGTTTTTGATGAGTTGATTTAGGGGTAAGATTAAACTCAATCCCTAGCCAAGCATATGAAAAAAGTCACAGGCTATTTCCTCAGCATAAGAGCATCTCCAATAGACTCTCTATTTTAGATAGTCTAAATAGAGAGTCTTACTTGACTCTCTACATTTGAAGAGCCCCACTCAATCTCTATTGTATTTTTTATGAATGACAAGATGACACATGTACATTATTCATTAAACATAATTATCTATATGACTATTTTTCTATTAGAATAGAGAGCCCCTTGGAGTTGTTAAAAATATTTCATTCTCTATTTCAAAATTTTATTCAAGATGCTCTCTATTTCAAAAAATATGCTTTCAAAAATAGAGAGTACTATTGAAGATACTCTAACTCATGATACATTAGATATAAACTAAGAACTAAAATTTCTCTGATAAGAAAACCTAACATGCTACATTATCAAAGGAAAGAAGAATATGCCAAAAAGGAAGATGAAAAAATCCTAGATAGCTAATAGAACTAAAAAATAGAGAAGCATGCAAAATTGTATTGAGCAAAGTGACATAAAGTTTGGAAACATATACATGTAATATCAATTTATTCAAAACATAGGTGAAATGAAAAAGGGCAAAAAGGCTGCAATTGTTTATTAATCCATCATAATGACAATTCAATATTATCTTTGTTCGATTTGATGTATCATCGCTAATATAATAACATGGTGCATTATTGCATCTACACTTCTCCTTGAGCATTAACAAAAATCTAAGACATTATCTTTTTCGGATAGGAAAAAATCTAAGACATTAGCATGATCACTTTGTCTTACAAGAACAAGAAAACAATGCATATTTGCTAAAATTAACACACACCCCAGTAGCGAAGCTCAGATTACAATCTATATAAAAGGTAATGAGCTACCAAGTTACTTAACAAACTTCTAATCAATTCCATAGCAACTAAATATCCACACATTGACTCCGATAATATCCAGGTAGTTTTCATTTTTAGACAATAAAGGCCATTAAATAAATTGAACTTGATGACAAAAATTATTCCCCCAATTGAAAAATTATCACTGATAAACCCCATTCCAATGTATTAACGACTGTTCCTAACACCAGATGCGAGCTCTTCCAACATGCATCTATTAATCATTTCTGCCGAAGGTCTTATCTTCACATCATAAACACTAGGTTACAGAAAGGTGGTCAATAAAAAACTCAAACCACATTGAAACACACATGCCTACATTATTACTAAATTAATCAAGACTTCTTTTAACAGAACACCCCCCACCCCCACCCCCCGGGGGGCCCCCAAACCAAAAAAAATAGCTTACCAGAATTAGCACTTCATGACTGCTGTAAATAAGTATCAAAAAGTGCCACATCAAGCTTCAAAGAGAAAAGTTATGGCTAACAAAATCTAATTAAATGCCAAGTCAACCAAAGTTATGCTGAAAACGATCTGCACAGCAGAGTTCATATGCAGTAGAAGTACAATGGACCTCCAATTCAATCTCAAATGAAAAAAAATCAAAACAAAATTATTTCTCAAAAACTTGTTGGCCATGGAATTTCTGAAACAGTTTCTATTTATCCTTCAACAATTGGGGGAAATACTTCTTCGCCTGCTGAAAAATTCTTCACAGGAAGATTTATTTTAATAAACCAACGCATCGTCACTGCAATCAATACCCAACTTTATAATGCTTGATTAATCAAGAAAACCCTAAAACGATAGGTACAAAAAACAAGTGTTTTAACTATAATAAAGAGTGACATCACGCACCAGAACTTAAATTCGGGAAGCCGGCGAACAAACGGGCGAAACTCGTCGGAACCACGGGTGGGGAGGGTGGGGCCATCATCGGAGATGTACTGAAACTCCGGATCAACCTGAGGAGAGAGAAACCCAATGAGGAGGTTGAGGATGTAGATACCGAGAGCATATGAGACGACGTAGAACCCTTCCACCAAGTAAACGCGAACGATGTAGATGATAGCGATGACAAAGAACGCGATCCAACGGCGAAGCACGTGCGGAGTTGACTTGTCGAGGAGGTGTTGGTAATGCGTGGACGCGGCAAAACTCCACCGCGACACGGCGGCCGCCGGGGTGTTCGATGGCAGATCGTAGGCGGCGCCACCGCTACCGCTAGTTCCTTCTTCCATGTGAGGGGCTTCTGTTTTTCTTGTCAGTTGCTCTCTCTCTCTCTCTCTCACACACACACACACACGCTTGCCCTATTTAGAGCGCGGAGTCGGTGCTTTTGAGCTTTTCCCGTTTATACCTCGGCCATTACTTTAATTGTGGTGTAGGAAAAATATTTAGGTTAATCTCAAATTGTACGGAATTTAAATTTGTAATTTTAAAAATAAAAAAATTTTAATTTATAATTTTAAAAATAAAAAAAAATATTAATTTGCACCATCGGTGGATATCAAGCTGACAGCCGTGGTTTAAAACTAAATTGATAAATTATAACTAGACTTCCTCATCCTTATCCCTTAATTACCTAAACTCTTTATATTTGAAATATTATATCTACATCCCTTTAGAATTCAAATATGACTAAAAATATTCCTCAATTGGGCATTCAATTAATTTTGTTTAAGTGATGTAAGGTATTGGATATAAATAACATTATATAAATACATGTATTATATTGGACATTCAAATGATAAATTTAATTTTGAGGTTTAAAGTATAACGGGCCCATAAAATAAAAGGTAGTATGAAAATTATAATTTTTTATTACGATAAAATTATATTTTATAACGGTTATATTAATAAAAATCAACGACGATTATGTGTTATACGCACACAAACATTAGAAGGTATATAAGTAATATTCTAAATGTGAGGGGTCCAAATGATTAAATGACAAATATGAGGGAATTTAAATATAATTTATTAATTTAGTATTAGATGGCAAACTGACCGCTATTAGTTTCAGAGGTATGCATTGATACAAATTTCTGTCTTTTCGAATATAAATTAAAATTTTTTATCTTTTTTTGAGGTGCAATTTGTGAATAACCCTAATAATTAAGATTTATTTGATACATATGAATAAATTTTAATATTAAATAAGAAATAAAAACTTATAACATTATAAAATGTAATTTGTTATCCCTTGTTTAATTTTTTTCTCCTTACACTGACACACAAAAATGCTTGCCCTATTAGAGCATGCAAATCGTGTTTAGAGAAAACACGACTATACTTTTGAGCCTTTCGCATTTATACTTCTACCACTAGTTTGATTGTTATATCACAAAAGAAATTGGATAAATAATTAAGGTTTATTTTGATATAGAGTTTTTGCTTTTTAAGTCAAAATGGTGATAAAATATGTATGTGAGGGGGCTTCTATTTTTCTTGTTAGTTGCTCTCTCTCTCTCTCTCTCTCTCTCTCTCTCTCTCTATCTCATGCACGCACGCACACACGCACTCACACACGCTTGCTCTATTAGGCATGGAGATCATGTTTGGAGAAACAAGTATGTGCTTTTGAGCTATTCCGTTTATACTTCTACCACTAGTTTGATTGTGGTTTCACAAAAGAAATACTTGGATAAATAATCAAGGTTTATTTGATACAAATGAATAAAATGAAAGATAAAACGAGAGATGAAAACTTATAACATCATAGAATGAGATATTCTAAAGAATCTAATAGAAAAGATGGAGTTTTTTTTTTCTTGGGTCAAAATGGTGATGCAATGTGTTTATGAGTGGCTTCTGTTTTTCTTGCTAGTCTCTCTCTCTCTCTCTCACACACACACACACATGTTTGCTCTATTAGAGTGTGGAGATCGTGTTTGGAGAAAATATGTTTGTGCTTTTGAGCCTTTATCGTTTACACTTTTGCCAGTAGTAGTTTGGTTTGTGGTATCACAAAAAAAAATAATTGGATAAACAATTAAGGTTATATTTGATACAAGCCCATACAATGTAAGATTAAACTAGAGATAAAAACTTATAATAGTAGAGAATGTGCTTTTCTGGAGAATCTATTAGAAAAGATGGAATTTTTGCTTTTTAGGTCAAAATGGTGATGCAACGTGTATGTGACGGGCTTCAGTTTTTTTTTTGTCAGTTGCTCTCTCTCCCTCTCACACACACACTTGCTCTAGTAGAGCGTGGAGATCGTGTTTGGAGAAAACACGTTTGTACTTTCGAGTCCTTCTCGTTTACACTTCTACCACTAGTTTAGTGATGGTATCGCAAAATAAATAATTGGATAAATAATTAAGATTTATTTAATACAAGTGGATAAAACAAAAGATTAAACAAGAGAAAAAAATTATCAGTGTTGAATGAGATTTTCTAAAGAATCTACTAGAAAAGATGAAGTTTTTGCTTTCGGGATCAAAATGGGGATACAATGTATATCAGTGTATGTGACTTTTTTTTTTCTCTCTCTCTCTCTCTCTCTTTCTCTCTTACACACACACACACACTTTCTTAATTAGAGCGTTGAGATCATGTTTGGAGAAAACACATCTGTGCTTTTGAGCTTTTCCCATTTATACTTCTACTAGTAGTTTGGTTGTGGTATCGCAAAAAAAATAATTGGATAAATAATTAAGGTTTATTTGATATAAATGAAAAAAACGCATCACTAAATGGGAGATAAAAACTTATAACAACATAGAATGGGATTTTCTAAAGAATCTACTAGAAAAGATGAAGTTTTTGTTTTTTGGGGCAAAATGGTGATGCAATGTGTATGTGAAGGGCTTCTGTTTTTCTTTTGAGTTGCTCTCTCTTTCTCTCTCTCACACACACACATATTTGCTCTATTAAAACGTGGAGATGGTGTTTGGAGAAAACACATATGTACTTTTAAGTCTTTCATGTTTATACTTCTACCACTAGTTTGGCAAAAGACGGAGTTTTTGCTTTTATGGTCAAAGTGGTGATGCAATGAGTTACTATAATGTAATGTAATGTAATGTGCGATTGTGTGATGTTAAATAAAGTATGTTAAAAATATGCATGTGACTCTTGTATCTGTTTATCAAAACAAGATGAATTTAAATTTTTCGTCGATTTGATAAGAGGTTCAGGTTGTTTAATAAACTTTCCACCGCTCATCTAAAATTTAGATGTGGTGCTTAGATTTAAACTTGTTGATCTTCTTGTGTGTGTTCATTAAAAAAAATGGAAAATAATATCATAATAAATGGAGTAAATTGCATCAATAGTCCTTGAGATTTTTCACTTCAAAATTTATTCTCTAAAATATTTATTTTGTCAATTTAGTCCTAAAAGTTCAAATATTGAATTAATATGGTCCTTAGCACTACTTGCTTTAAAATTAAAAGAGGAAAGATATCTAACTAGGAATTGTCTCAAAATTATCTCATTTTCTATTTGCATATGATTGCATTTCTCTCAAAGTTCAAAAAGTAATTGCTATAAACTGCTTGAATTGCTCAAATCATTTAAATCCAACGGCTTACATTATGATTTAAATTTTAACCTTCGCTGAAATTTCACCCATGAAAAATACTAGAGGTGGTAACCAGCCGTTTAAAAGAATTGAAAACGAACCTGTAAAATAAACACAACAAAACATTTGCATGCACTTCCCAAGTGTTCCATTAGTTGTAGCACTGCATCCTGATTAATCAAAATAAACCTTAAATAATCACAAGAGTTGACAGAAAGAATGAGAAAAAAAAAAAAAAGCAAAACTATAACAAGTTTGGTAGATACTGTGGAAAGCAACAGTGACATTGTTTCGCCAGCACTCCTGTGTCTAAAAGTTGTTCAATCTCTCTCTCTCTCTCTCTCTCTCGCACACCATCCTTCAGTTACAAGCACCATTCATTTCGTATGGATGGTTTTTGATGGGTGGCTTCCAAAGACGTTAGCTGTGTTAGAAAAGAACAGGCAGACTCTCTCAAGCTTCACAAAACATGTTGATGCCATTAATACTTCGAAAAACTCAGTTGAGTACGTTTAGAACACACCATACAGCCCTGGGAATGCTCAGAGTCCTTGTTTCCTTGTAAGAGCAATAATGATCTTGTTCAAATTCGAGATTTCCTTATCCCTTTGGCTCAGTTCTTGCTTTAACCTTTCAATCTCTTTCAAGTGACCATCACACTGATTCAAGCCAGCCTTATTCTCCCCAGGCTCTTCAATTATCTGATCTGTCTTCAGCTTCTTGGGCTCTACGGACGTGTTGTTATCTAGGAGTGACCTCTTCTTGGATGCAACTTGCCCAATAGAATCATCATGAGTCATTTTTCGAATGTATAAACTACCAGATACACCTTTGTCGAGTTGAAATGAAATGAGTTTCTGTGGCCGCCCATTTGAGTCCTGACAGAAGGAAGACAAAAAAAAAACCAATAGCTATGTAAGTTGAAAAGCCAAGTTGCACATGCGGTGACATACTCTGCTGTTTTGAAAATGTAAAGTGATAAATACTAGGTCAAATTACGAATTAAATTAATGTAGTTTGGGGTTTGCTCCCAACAACACATTACCTCCTTATATTTTTAAAACCTACACATAACACCCTTCCAGTTTTTGGCTAAACTGAAACCATTTACTTTTCCATCCACATTAATGGAATACCTAAAAAGACTCATTTACACTACACTCAAAAACACCTTATTCCTTATTTGGACGAAATTCACCCTTTTCCTTAATTAGACAAAGTTATGCATATAACCAAACAACCTCCTCTTCTTCCTCTTTCTACTTTTCCTTTTTCTCTCTCACCCACGCACAGATACGCACACAATCTCTCTCTCTCTCTCTCTCTCTCTCTCTGTATATATATAAAAACATGTATAATATATATGCAGTACTCGAAGAAGCTTCCAAAATATAGGTCTGTCGAGGAAAAGCTTCAAGATTTGTTCCTGATGCCCCACCAATTAATAAAATACATCGAGTTACTTCATGCCATGAACAATTTGGAAATATAACTTTAATGTGACTACAACTGTTCCGTTTGGCAACAAAACTGTGATGAGCTCTTTGGATATAGTTTAATTACCAGTTGAACAATGTAAACTGTCCCACTTGGGAACATACAACTTTCATTTCTTGACAGAATACTGTTCCATTTGGCAACAAAACTATGATGAGCTCTTTGAACACATTTTCATTACCGGTGCAAAACAATGTAGAATATAAAACTATCCTCAGGATTTGATGAGTTGAATAAGCTAGAGAGGGGGGGGGGGGGTCGAACTTGAACAGATGGAGAAGCAATGCAACTAGGGCCTACATTTATACAGATAAGGGTAACTTGGTCATCAAGAAACTCAATTTTGTAGGGAAAACTTTACTCCCATGCTAAAGCACTTTTTCGACCAAACATTATGAGTAGGTATCCAAATGAAGAAAGGTGTTACGGGGACAACACAGATATAATCCATAAGTTCAACCAAATATTATAATTTCAACACGACATTATCGCAAGGATAAGGGTAAAACTATTGGGACAAGAAAGGGAAGAATAAGAGAAAGAGCGGGGGTTAGATAAACATGAGCGACCACTAGTGACTTTCGAAAAATTGGAAAAATGCATTTGAGACATACCTCTTCTCCGTAACCTTCAACATTCTCAAATGCATGATTTGCCTCTCGTTGATTCTTAAAGATTGCAAGGGCAGAATACCTATCTCCTCGAATTTTTTTGTTAGCCTGCAAGCAAGTCATTTGCACCCATCAGTGACATCATAAATAAGTAAATAGTATAGAGGGAGAAAAAATTAGAATACAAGAATTTCAACAAGAAAATAGAAAGTCCGCCCGACTATTTTCAAAAATCCCAGAAACACCAGGCTGTTACTAACCTTCCATCAACCGGTGGTATAATCTGGTCTAAAAAATAAAAATACTCACAAATTGAGACACACACACACATTCTCCTGGCAGCATAATGACCCAAAACTGCTAACACTCATACAGCAATTAGGCAGCTGTAATTGGTATTTTAAATTTCAGAAGGTTAGAGATGAATAAGGAGCCTTTAGCAGAGCAGGTAGTCTCAAGCATACCAGCTCTGTTTTTTTAATAATAATAAAGAACTATGTGCTGGCTTTTTCTTGTCTTCCTTTCTCCCTATCTTCAGGTAGGTTGGCTCCATCCGTTTAATCAGCCAGGAGGTTAACATGCACCTTCAAGCTCATATTAGCAAAAATAATTACCTTCATAATTATAATAACTAATTGCTGAATAGAGGCACAATTTTTTGTATAAGGCCAACAGCAATCATAGTGCAGAAGACTGTCTAATATCATATTCTTATTTTTCTAATATGCTTGGAACTACCAAATGGATAAGACTACTTTAGTCAATGAACAATGCGGAGTTGTTTCTGGAATTAATTGTTTCTTACTAAATAAAATAGTTGCAATAAGAAAGAAGTGGTAATTAGAAAAACTGACATCCCCCGACTCCACGTAATACAACACAGAAACTCATCTAAGAAATGACACAGGGCACAAATAGTATGTATGTGTTTAGATCTAAACACCTCCTCTGGGCTCACATCAATGACGTAGAAGTTCTATATCCACTTTTTCCCTTACTTTCATTGATCTTTTAATATTTATCTCTGACAAATGGGGATAAAAAGGTAATTTTTCAATGTCTTTCAATAGAAAACTCCAACCTCTCGGGAAAAAGGGTCTGAAAATACTCTCTCAAATGTCAAGGAGTCTCTGCACAATTATGCCAGGACTACTCAAGGGGTCTCAGTTTGGTTCACTCAACATTTTCTTAAAGGCGTATTTGGTCCAATGGTACTCCTTGTACCTTCTTGAGCTCAAGGGTTCAAATCGCCTTTCCCTCCCCAAAAAAAAAATTCATTACTGGGGAAATATGCCTAGAGGCAGGGCTTCCCGCCTTGTCTAGCCCATTATCATTTTATCATGAGATGTTTATGCATTTCCACTCTGAGCCAAGACGTCCCATGAACAGCTTGGGTTTGTTGTTTAGGAACTCTGCAAGAACCATCATACAGAATGTGCCAAGTGCCAACATTCTAGCAAAAATGGCATGGTGCTAGAAAGGGAACAATCAAGTGGAAAAAGAGGCGCATAGGATATATATGGTCAACCTTTAATTCGATGGTAAAGTTTCCTGGAATGATATTATGTAATTCTTGGCTAGGCACATTTGTTGGAATCCTGTGAACAAGTAGCTTTGCCATTTCTACTTCAGGTACCTGAAATTTAAAAGAAATTTCAGTCAACAATCCAGCTTTATCCGCACATAGGAAGAAACAAGAAAATATACTTCAAACTTACATCCTCGCGAACCACAGGTATAATATTGTCAAATCCATGCTCTATTTTTGCCAGAGCAAGTTTCATTGCAGCACATGCATCATCTAGACAATTGTGTGGAGCACCCTTCTCCCGAAGTTCATAACCCAAAACAAACTGTAAAAAAAATATGTGGGAAGATTAACCATGTACAAAAAATTATAGTTGCATGCCTGCTACTTATTTGGACATGCCAAAGATGCAACATCTTGAAGACATGTAGCAACAAGACCAAAAAAAGAAAAGAAGCAAAAGGGTAAACAAGGACTTGTCACACATTTGTTACTTAAAACATGTCCAATAATGATATACACGGCAAGTGGTAACAGATTTAGGTATTAGAAAATAATACTTTACTCTAAAAACAAGCCTTACACAATTTTCCAAAGAAAGTCTACCATAAACAGGTTTCAGAAGCAAAGTCAAGTCAGTCGACACATGCATATGCACATGCAGTCACCCACAGAGATGATTTCCAAATCGCCATAAATTATAGTAGATTTGGAGGATGGAAAGAATAAAATAAAAAAGGAATGTCAGAACCAGACGTGCACGCACTCACAAAGAACTTGCCTTACACAGGTTACTCAGTGAAGGTCTTCTGTAATGAGGCCCACCCCCATATTTGAAGATATAAGAGGTGTCAATCACTCTTGCATGATCTAACTTCAATGCTGTGAAACATAATGGAAAACGGAAACAAAAAGGTAATGTAAATATCCCGTACCACTATTTGGTCTTGTAAATACCATGTAAAAAGAGCACCAGAATAATCTTGATAAGGAATTACAATTAGATGCAGCTTCTAAGTAGTAGCCAACTGTCAAGCAAATATATAGGAAAACTTACAGAACATAGATCCAGATTAACTACAACCCACATAAATACAAACTCAAAGAAATTAACATTAGGACACATGGCTGAGCTCACCTTGCAGATCGTTGTGCAAGCTGTGTCCAACTAATATGGTTCCATGTGATAATAGTTTCTTCATGGATTTCTACAGAATGCCCAAAAAATTTCAAAAAAGGCATTCAAATACAAATCTCCAATATAATAAAAAATACAGCATATTACCTGTACATCTGCCAATGAATATGTTACTCCATCCAAATCTTTTGCTGAGATTCCAGTAATTTCAGTTCTGTATTCCACAACTGCTTTATTGGGGTTTACAAGTTCATTAAGTTTGACCTGAAAATACTCCAAACTCAAAAGTGATTTACATCAAACAGAAGAAAATTTTGTATTATTGGGACCATAGAAAGTGATCTAAATTGCTTGAGAAAAACAGACACAGATGGTTTCATGCAGGAATGGATGAATGAGAGTTTAGTGGGTTCATAATTTCATATACATAAAAATGTCAAAACAATCTAAAAAATACCTGTAAATTGCGATCCACAACACAAACTCGCACCAAAGCTTCACTGCCGTCTTCACAACCAACCATCTCACAATCAACAGCAACCATTGCAGTTGATCTCATTGCCTTGGCTTTTTTACTACGCTTTGTAACCAACCACTCCTGCTCCACCACCCCAGGATGTTCACAAAATAACAAGCCAAATAAAGGAACATGAAATTACTGGTACATGAAATTACTGGTACATGAAAAGAAATATATTTACCATGTACCAAAAGAACTCTATCAATTTGAAAACAATAATAAAAAAAAACTAGACCATTGTAATATACGTTTAAGTAACACCATGAGGAGTACTTTGGTAAAAACTAACTATGAGATTTTCTTCTTTCCACGCAAACATCTCATTAGTTGACAGAATAACTCCAGGGTTTGGACAAAATATGATACAAAACATCCACAATTTTTGCATCAATCCTTCAAGATTCCATGTTAGATTAGCTGTAGGGTAGAAAGCACGGATACAAATATGAGATACGAGTACAATGCAAATACGACAAAATCCCAAAAATAAGATACGGGTACGATTGGGATACGTCTATAAACAATATATTTTATATTTTTATTATTATGTAATGACTTGATAGCTATAATTTCTTGTGATTCTTTAACAATAATAAATAACATTAATAAATAATTATTTTCAAAAAAGTTACCTATCATCTCACTGTGGTATATTTATAACGTGAATGTGATTAATTTAAGAAATAAGCACCAACATTTAACTATATTGTTTGCTTAGAAGTATTTGTTACTAAGATTATAAAGTAATTAACTCATTTAAATTCTTTTAACATGTGATAATGAATAATACTTGGAAAAACACCCATGTGTCTTCTAAGTGAGATGAATTTTTGTTGATGTATCGTATTGTACTTGGAATCAAAAGGAAGGGATAAAAATTAAAATAAAAAATTGTAATATTTCTTTGCATGTAGAAGTATCTGCAAAATCTCCATATATTTTATTTATTATTAGATACATTTGGTGTGTATCCGATACACATCTGACGAATATTGTATCCGATACATATCTGACGAATATTGTATCCGATACATATCTGACGAATATTGTATCTGATACGAGTACGTCAAACATAACGAATTATCCATACTTCATAGATTGTAGGAAGGTGAAAGTTGACTACCCTCACCTACAGTAGGACTACATTTTTGAACCTTTAACATTTGGTCTTTTCACTACATTTGCCCTCATTGTCAAACTCCCATGGTACAACAATAACGCAATTAAGCTTCGCGAGGATTTCCAAATTAGTGTAGTGGGATGACTATAGCATGACATTAAGAAAAAGATTCTGCCTTCATTTGATGAGATTTAATTATGATATTTTAAGTAAATATTAATTTAATAGGATTTGATTTGATAGGTGGAAGTTAGGCAAGTAAAACTTTAAAATTGAGTGTTCCCTCTATTTGTTTTATGTGGTTGTGATCTCAGCTCCTAAGCTTATAGAAGTTGAGTTTATTAGCCGAGATGAAAATTTTTTGCCCTTTATTAGTTGGAATATTCATAGTATCAGCCCATACTAATACGAGTAGTAGAGTCGTATCTAATACGACACTATCTACTCTGAGACCGATAGACATTCCATATAAACCACGAGTCTTACTAAAGTTCTTGTTGACTTATAGATATCTCAAACAATTTGTTTGAGTTGTCCAAGTAATCTTTCTGCAACGCCTTAATATGTCTCAAACTCTCACCAGGTCTAAGTTATATTTTCCATTTGTGTGTATTTCCTAATAACAACGTCACGATATGTTTCAGTGTCTTCCAAATCAATAACTAGGATTGTAACCTTGAACCACAACGAGAATTTGGGCCTTATTCATTGAGAATTTGCAACGACTAGATCTGCATGTTTAATTTTGGTTCGTATTTATGATTGGATTCATCACCAAACACCATACCTTTAGGTTTCCACCCAACCAGACCAAAAAAAAAATCTCACCCCGATGCTTTATTTTTTTTGACCAAATGCTACATAAAAGAAAATCTTCTTCCATCATACCTTGTATACTATCTATAATAAAAAAACAGAGCTCATTATGAATTCTCCAACTTACAAAAGTGCAACAACAGTCCAAATTAACTCAATTTTCATCCACTTTCATCTAATGATACATAATTAACCCCCCTCATGCTTCTCTCGCTTGCTCCTCAAATCTTTTTTTTTAACAACTCGATCCACGAAGTTGGATACCTTGACAACCAATCCCCTACCTCTCTCGCTCACCCCTCTCTTTTCTCTCTCTATCCACTCTATCTTCTCTCTCCACAACAATGACCATCCCTCTTCTCTCTTCCCCCCCCCCCAACTCATACCATGGAGCCACTCAAGGACCCACCATCACTACCACCACCAACAACACCATAGCCATCACCGAGCAAACCACGGTCCAAGTATCCCCTCTCTTTCTCCCCCTGTCATCATCTCTTTGTATACACACACACACACAGAGCACACATAGCTCACACACATGCATGTGCATTCATACCCCCAACAACGCAAACACATACCTGCCCGCACGCACAACACAAACATCACATGCACAGAGCACATCAACACCACCCACACACACTGAAACACATTCAAACACAACATTCAATTGATACCGGTATAAGTTGGGGTTAGGATACGAATTGGCAAGGTTGGTTGAGAAAAGCTAGGGTTTTGAAAAATTTGGCTACAGAGAGTGAAATCCAGGTTGAAAATTTGGAAGAAATGGTCATTGTGAATCCAATTGAGGTGAAAAGGGGTCAATGAAGACCAAGGATGCAAAGAATAGGGTTCAACTAGGGCTTCTCAACCCACACCCCTACTTTCCAAGACACAATCACACACCTAATAACACACATAAACAGAGTCCCAATGTATGGATTTTGGAAATTTTTTAATGTCTCAATATTTGATTTTCTTTGTTTCTCTGCTTTTCTTCTATGGATGGTTGAGCATGATCTAATGGACATTTGATACTCAAAGTGTGAATTTGATATAGTAATTCTTCTCTGATGATGCACAAATTAGTTTTATGCACCACCGGTTGAGTGGTTAATAATTAATACAGTAATTAAGTATAGAGAGAGTAACACAAGCAAGAAAAAGATATAGAGTTGCTAGGTCAACGTGACCTACTCCACTATAAAAGGCTAGGATGGCCTAATATTTTATTACTTCGAAGAGTGTAAGGAGATCAAAGGAAAGTAATGGAAGTACAAGCTATGAGAGAGAGATAAGAGTAATAGCAGATGTGCTCGATGCCCCCCCAATTATTGGTGGGACTTACAATTTATAGTGCCTCTTAATAGATTGATGAGCCTTTTCAGTAACTAAATAACTAATTTGGTGGAGCTGGCGCTATCTTTTCAACGAATAAGGCAGGTACGGAGCTCCCCTTAATATTAGGTCAAAGAATGACGTGGTTGTTGACTTTTTCCAAGGCGGCGTGGATGAGGGTCTTAAAATGGCGCTCCCTACTCCTTAATGATGTAGCTTCTCCAACCCTGACGAACTTTACTGAGCGTGGACCTCTTTTGGGCTGGACCCATTAGATCTTATCTAGTTAGGCCCTTTATTTAGACTGGGCTTACAACTTGAGTTAGACCCTTGGGTCTGGCCCATCATTTGCCCCCCAATGTCCCGAATAAAATAAAACTTAGAGAAGAGGCATTTAGTTGAATTTGAATTCTGGCTGACAGAAACTCTTTTCGACTGACGACTCCCTTCCTTCCTGATATATCTCAGTAGGACACCTTCAACTATATGAATTCCCCCACTTTATTTCCTATTTGGATTCTAGAAGAACACTATGTCATAAATAGGGGCTTTTTCCTTTATTTCCTTTTCATACGATGTTGAGAGAGCTCCTTCAGGAGATTCTTCAAGAACAAAGGCAAGTGGTGAGGTTCTTGAGTGGAGTGTTCAGAGGGCAATGTCGGTTGAAGGAGAAGATGTGCAAGGGTTCGTCGATCTTGGTGAGAAGCTTGGAGCGATCGAGTTCGAGGTGAGATCTCGGGCGAATACTATCGAGGCAAGGAGGTGTGGAGGCTACAGGGGAGAAGAAAGGTGAAGGCGAGAAGCAAAGGGGCAAAGTGCCACGAGCGCCGCCTGGCATGGCGACCCAGGAGGTACTGGCTTATGGGCGAGCTGACCATGAGTTGGCATTAAAGAGAGCCAAGCATGGAGATCTGGCTGGCGCAGCTGGGTGATTGGCGTGATTAGACGAGCATGCCATGGGCGTTGAAGGCAAGGCACCTCTGGCACTGTAGGTCGAAGGTCATGCCGATCATAGAGGAGGCACTGAAGTCGAGATAAAGATCCAGGGGGTCAAGGCCCCATGGGCTGGAGCCGAGACTGAGGCACCATGGATGCTATGCGTTGGCGAACAAGTGGAAGTTCTATCAAGCGAGGCTGATCAAGGAGTGAACATCGCAGAATCGGTACCTCTAAGTGCTGGGCAAGGGTCGACGAGCGCAAAGGAGGCGTTGACAGCTACTGGGCATGGCCAAACAGGCATGCAAGCGGTTGGGCACGGAGCTAGGAAGCAGAATACGGTGGAGGATGCTAGCGGCGATGATTCTGGTCAGATAATAGATGATTTGGTTCGTTCATGTGAAACTCCACGGAGTCAAATTCCACAAGGCTCTCCTGGTAGTGGCCCGCGCAATGTTTCTCGCCCTGACAGTAGTAAAAATTGGGAGGATACTACAGATTGTTTTCACTTATAATATTCTCTCAACGGTCCTGTCATCGAGCTGAAATGGTTGAGCCTGATTGTGATGACTCATCTGAAAACATTGTTATTTATAAATAGGTGCTTGAGACTGGGTTGAGATTCTCAATGCCTTCTTCTGTTTGTCGCATTCTCTACTATTTTTTGCTTGCTTGCACCAGGGCGTTTGGCGCCGAACGGTTGGAGAGTTTTGCTAGAATTTTTGGCATTGTAGAGGAAAGTGCATCAAGAGGATGTTTCTCCTAAGGAGTTTTATACAGCTTATACTCTGAGGGAGACTCTTGCTCTCAATCGAGGCTGGTACTACTTCACTCTAAGGAAAGGTAAATTGATTACTAGCTTGCGCTGTAATTGCTATAGCTGGAAGGCTTGCTTCATGTTTGTTGGAGGAGAATAGGCTTCAGAGATTAACAAAGTTTTGGTACCAGCAAGATAGGACACTCCCAAGAGAATTGGTATGCCCACTCTTATTCTTTTTCCTTTACCTTTTTTGTAAATGTGTACTCATCACATTCCTTCCAAGCTCCCGATGCTCTCGAAAGACCAAGAATGAAAGTTGCAAGTTGTGAAGGTTCATCCTATGAAGGATTTTTGAACCCTCATGCTTACAGAGGGTGCAACAAGAGATTCCCTCTGACTATGACCTTTGTCTGTCCATTTGTTTGCGGGTGCGCTGGGCTAGAATGAGGCTGCTTTATCTAAAGGTCAGCGTAGAACAAGTTTAACAATTTGTTCTCGAATTGCTTGGCATTGTCACTGAGTATGGTGTGGGGTACTCCAAAGTAACAGACTAAGTTCTTTCAAATGAAGTCCTTAACCTTTGCGTTTGTAATCTTTGCTAAGGGCTCGGCCTTCGCCCATTTCTTGAAGTAGTCAATGGCCACCACCAAGAACTTGCACTACCCCCCGCTCAGAGGCAAGGGGCCTAAGATGTCGATGCCCCATTTGGTCATGGACTTGTGATGGCTAACAGCTCTTCTAGTGGCTGCCTGGACACAATGACGAAGCATTGACACTTATCGCATTTCCTAGTGAACTCCTATGCATCCTTAACCATGCTAGGCCATAAATAACCTTGTCTAAGTACTTTGTGGGCTAGGGAGCGTCTTCTAGAGTGATTTCCACAAACTCCTCCATGGATCTCTCGTAGGGCATGATTAACTTCCTCTTCGGAGAGACAGCATAGAAATGGTGGGGCGTAGGCCTTTTTGTACAGGATGTCCTCCAAGATGGTGAGCTTAGAGGCTCTCATCCTGAACTTCTTGTCTTCCAACGGGTCGTCTGGCAACGCGCCCTCCTAAAAGTATGCCTTTATTGGGGCCATCAAGTTTGACTCGACAGATGTGCAGTTGACATTAGTGGCTTTCATAACTAGCCAGCTTGGTTCGATTTGGTGACCAATGAATGCGGTTCTGGTGGAATGTTCAAGGATGAAGCGAGTTTGGCTAGTGCATTTGCAGCAATATTGTCTTCCCTTGGGATATGATGGATTTGTAAGAGGTAGAACTTAGTCAGCAAGGTTTGCACCATAGCTCAGTACTCCAGCATTTTAGTTCCTTTTATTTCAAACTTGTCCTTTACTTGATTGACTATTATCTAAAAGTTGTTGTAAGTGATGAGGTGTTAGACTTCCATTTTAATTGTCAACCTTAAGCTAAAAATGAGGGCTTTATATTCTGCTTCATTGTTGGAGGCTGTAAAATAAAACTTTATGGCATACTTGAGTGGAATGCCATCAGGGTTGACCAGTATTAGGCCCGCTCCACCTCCTTCGTTGATCAAAGAGCCATCCACCTAAAACTCCCACTGAGGTGGGAGAGAGAGGGCCTTAGAGGCCGTAGGGACGCCAAGGTGCCTACTGTTGGTGCCAAGATGCCCTGAGCGCTAGGTTTAGATGCTCGTGCGCCTGGTTGGGCTTCCAATGAGGCTTTCTGAGGTGTCGAGGTTCTGCCGTCTTTTCCTCCGTTGGTGTGAGCTCAGCAACGAAGTCCGCCACGGCTTGTACTTTGATGGCTGCCCTTAGTTGGTATTACACATCGAACTCGCCCAACTCTACCCCCATTTTAGGAGTCTTCCTAAAACATCTGGCATTCCCAAAACTCTCTTTAGAGGCTGGTCTGTAACGATGACGATGGTGTGACTCTGGAAATAATGTCAAAGATGCCTTGCTGTTGAGATCAAGGCAAGTGCCATCTTTTCTAGCCCTGAATATCATATTTCTGCTCCTCGGTATGCCCGACTCACGTAATAAACAAGCTTTTGCACTCTTTCGTTGTCCCTGATGCTGACAGAGCTTACTGTCGATAGGAAAGCAGAGAGGTACAAGTACAAAATTTCACCTGGCGTGACTTGTGAAAGGAGTGAGGGCTTAGCCAGATAAGCTTTTAACTTTTGAAAGGCTTCCTATGCGTTAAGTCTGCACTCGAAGGCTTTCTGGAGAATATTGAAGAAAGGTAAATCACTTATCTGCAGACTTGAAAACGAATCTGTTGAGGGCTGCAATTCTCTCATTGAGGCGCTAGAGCTCCTTGGTTGTGATGGGTGATCTCATATCCAAGATGGCTTTTATCTTATCTAGATTTGCCTCGATTCACTTCTGGTTGACCATGAAGCCTAAGAACTTTCTTGATTCGACGCCAAAAGCACTCTTCTCAGGAGTTTAGCTTCATGTGGTATGACCTGAGAACATTGAATGTTTCCTAAAGGTGTTCTACGTGTTCTACTGCAGCGAGGCTCTTTACTAACATATCGTCCACGTACACCTCCATTGTTCTTCCGATTTGTGACTGAAATATCTTGTTCACCGGTTGTTGGAAGGTCGGTCCCGCATTTTTTAGTCCAAAGGACATAACCCTATAGTAATAGGTTCCCTTTGAAGTGATGAAGGACGTCTTCTCCGGATCTAGTGGATACCTGCTGATCTAGTTTTACCCAAAGTATGCATCCAAAAAAATGAGTAGCTTGTGGCCTGCGGTGGTGTTGATGAGAATGTTGATCCACGACAATGGATAGCTATCTTTAGGACACATCTTATTGAGTTCGATAAAGTCGACGCAGGGGTGCCACTTTTCATTGGCTTTGGTCACCATCATCACATTTGATAGTCAAACTGGATAGGTCACTTCTCTAATTGCCCCGTTTTCTATTAGCTCCCCCACCTCTTTATCCATTGCTTGCACCCTTTCAGTGGAAACGTTCCTCTGCTTCTATCGAACAGGCCTATAACGGGGGTCGACATTAAGCCTCAAAAAATTTGTGAGTTGTTGGGCTAGATCCTCAGGAAGGGAGGAACCAATGTACACCCTTTTGTCCGAAAACTTTTCATCCAGGACCACTAGAGTGAGCTCTTCCTCTAGCTCTCCTCTCTCCAACGTAGTATCATCTCTTGAGTCGAGCACCTCCACTTGTAAGGCTTCTTATGACTTCTTAGTCTTCATTAACGAGACGTAGCATTCTCTTGTAGCAACCTGGTCTCCCTGGACCTCTCCGATTCCATTCGGGGTTGATGGAAGATTAGATAATAAGTGGAGGCATGGCTCTTCGGGTGTTAAGAGCTGGTCGCCCTAAGATAATGTTGTAGGCTGACGGGCAATCTCTCACCAAGAAGTTCACCATGACTGCGGAGCTTCAGGGTGCTACGCCGGTGGTGACTGACAAGATAATAGATCCTAAGGTATACACCTTCTCCCCTGAGAGTCCGATAAGGGGCAACCAGATGGACTACATTCTTTCTCTCCCAAGGCTGAGCTTGTCATAGTTTTCTACGAACAAGATATCCATAGAGCTGCCACTATCTACGAGAATCTTCCGTAACTGAAAGTTGGCCACAGCCGGTTGTCGTAAGGGTGCTGAATTCCTTTCAAATCCTTGTTTGAAAATGATATGACCTCGCCATTTCCTTGCTTGCATGCCTTGGACGAGCACAGATCGTCAAGGTGTATAACTTTTCTGGCATGACCTTTATAGCAGAGAGGGATTTTCCTCCTCCTGCGAGCCCTCCAGAGATGATGTGAATTTCTCCAAGGGATTGTTGGTCTTCCTGATTATAAGGTGACGTCGGCGCTTGACCCCTACCAGCAACATACTGACGTATCAATTTATTTTTTAAACTCAAAGCAGTCGTCAGTGTCATGGTCATGATCCCTATAGAAACGACAATACTTGTTTGGATTCCTACAGTTTGGTGGAAATTTCATTCTTCTAGGCTACTTTACTGCAGGGTCATCCTGGATCTGGAATACAATGTGCCCTACAGTGGCATTGCGGGGTAAAGATTTGTCGCTCCCTTTGAAGGGCAGGACCAGACGGTCTTTGGCAGATACCCTTTCCGTCCTACCTCGTTTGTTTCCACTCTCCTTCTTGTCTTCTCTGTCTCTTTCCTTTCTCTTCTCCCCTGTTCGTGAGGATTCACCTCGCCTGGCCCTGGTGATGTCCTCAACATTCATATATTTCTAGACTTTTGTCAATAGTTCTGGCATACTCTTCGATGGTCGCTTCATCACTGACAAGAGAAAGCTTGATGAACGAAGACCTCCCAAGAAGGCGGTCATGGTGACCTTATCATCAGGCTTCTCGATCGGGAGGAACTCCTCGTTAAAAAGAGTGAGATAACTCTTTAGGCTCTCATCTCGATCCTACTTTATGCTAAGCAGGTGGGTGACAGACTTCTGGTGGCGACATCCTCCAATAAAGTGTGACACAAAGGACCTGCTGAGTTCGGCAAAGGAGCCCATAAAGGCTGGGATGAGCTTCGAACCATTGTCGGACAGACCCTTTCCATGTAGTCGGGAATGTCCTACACATGAGTTCGTCAGGAACATTATATAGCTGCATTAAGGACTTATAAGTTTCGAGGTGATCCAGTGGGTCTTTTATGCCGTCAAAGGTTTCCACTAATGGCATTTTAAATTTCTGGAAAAGGGGGTAGTTTGCCACATCTGGCACAAAGGGTGTGTCAGTTGGCCTTACGAGATAATCCACATTCTCTAGTCCTTGCACCTTTATTGCATTGAAATCGTCGCCCAGTTAATTATGTACTTCTTTGATTTTATTCATCCCAGTGATTGGGAGCTTCTTTAGAATTGTCATGAAAATGGCTCTCATGCTCGACGCTTTGATTCTCGCCCTCATCCTCTTGAAAACGAGGATCTCTACTGTGGGAATAAGAAGCTGGAGGAGGAGGTGAAGCTCCCTCATGGTTCTGATGAGGGGCTCCCTAGTAGGGGGCCCAAAAGGGCTCCTAAAGAGACGCCCAAGTGGGGAGCTCCTTGACGCTCTAGGCAAGTAGCTCTGGCCTGATGTCCTCCCTGTTGCGGACCTCTTTGTTGTCTAGTGAACAGTAGCCGCAGGATTTGCTAATTCTGAGTTACGAGTTGTTGCATTATTTCCAGCATCTACTGTGCATTTGGAACAGGATTAGCTGGTAGAGGGGTAATCTCTTCTTCACGTGGTGGATTGTCTTCGGGCTGATTCATAGATCTGGTGGTAATCGCCATAGGTACAAAAAAAAAATTGTTGGGTGAGAACTTTGTCGTTTCTCACAGGCAACGCCAAACTGATGATGCACAAATTAGTTTTATGCACCATCGATTGAGTGATTAATAATTAATGCAGTAATTAAGTAGAGAAAATAATACAAACAAGACAAAGATGTAGAGTAGGTCGGTCAACGTGACCTACTCTACTATGAAGAGCTAAGATGACAGGGTGTTTTATTACTTTAAGGAGTATAAGGAGATCAGAGGAGAGTAATGGAGGTACAAGCTATGAGAGAAAGATGAGAGTGATAACAGATGTACTCGATACCCCCTAAGTATTGACGGGCTTACAATTTATAGTGCCTCTTAACAGACTGAAACGCCTTTTCAATAACTAAGTAGCTAATTTGATGGAGCTGGCGCTATCTTCTCAACGAATGAAGCAGTTACGGAGCTCCTCTTAAGATCAGGTCAAATGATAACGTGGTTGTTGACTTTTTTCAAGGTGGCATGGATGAGGCTCTTGGGATAGCGCTCCCTACTCCTTAATGATGTAGCTCCTCAAACCCTAACAAGTTTGACTGAACGTGAACCTCTTTTAGGCTGGACCCATTGGATCTTGTCTAGTTGGGCCCTTTTTCAGATTGGACTTACAACTTGAGTTGGACCCTTGGGCCTGGCTCATCACTCTCTATTATTAGCTTGATATTACGGTATTACCTTGTGTTTGCTCTCACTATGTTTTTAGCTCCACTCATGCATTAATTTATGCTTTGTTTTGCTCTTGAATTTTCAGTTTTCATTTCAGGAGAACATCCAATTTTTATTGATTGTTTGTTTGTTTAATTTTTCTCTTTGATGTGCAATTCAAATGGTGGGCACTCCAATCCCCCACTAATTTTGCAAGGGTGTTCTGATGTCTATGCACCCAAGCTTTGAATTCTACAACACTTGATTCATTAAATTTTGTCGTTTCATACTTTCTTATGTTTTTTGACTTGATAATTAGTTAATTGCATTCAATCTCTCTAAAACAATGGAGGTTTCCTTGGGCTTTAAGGTTTGATAAGCTAAACTTCAATGGTTTGATGAGCATGACTTCACAAGTTATATATAGAGTATTCGTTATTTTGCTTAAATGAAAAGAAATCACTTTTTTTTTTTGCATGAAAATGGAAGTCTGATTTTAATAAAAGTACAGTGAATAAATTGCAATGGTAGAGGATTTCACATATTAAATCATCTTTTTTGCTACTTTTTGAGATAGATGTTCATTTTGAAAGGATTTAGTTTGCAGCCTAGCCACCAAAGCATTTATCATCCACTAGAGCAAGAAAATTTGGCTGCATGTATTTCTTGCTGAGCTCATTTTATCTCTGATGTGCAGAAAAAAAAAACAGCAGCTTTCATAGAGTTGTACCAATATTGGTCGAAGAAAGCCTAGGTTCCAAATATGAATACAACAAGCTTTTGTTGATCAATGTTGTAGAGATTCTTTGAAGCCCTAAAATTAACTCTTGTTGTTAATTTTGTTGCGTCTCTGCCATTGGCTTTTGAATGTTTATCCATTTTGGTTGTGATTGTGGTGATTTAGTCACGTAATTCACATGGTCTACTTGAACTATTCGTTGAAATGACTCAGAAATTCTAGCTCTCTTTGCATTTCCTTGCACTAAGAATTTCCATTGCATTATACTTCATCATCCACAATGGGTAATGCTTTCTCTTTCTATTCCCTTTGGTGTTATTTTTTGAACATTTTAATTTCTTCTCTATCATTGATTACCAACGAATAATAGCAGCCATCAAGGGCTTTTCTTCTAAATATTTAGTGATATTTATTGATGGTGTGACTAAAATTCATCTTTCCCCCTAATGGGTTTTGATTTGAATTGGCGTAGGCTGTGGTGGGTATTAAGAGAAGGTGTACAAAAGTTGATCACTAGTAAGATTATAATTCCTGATCGTCTTGATTGGTGATTTGCGTGTTTGAAATTCTAATATACTTTCCAAGTTCACGCGGAATGAGTCCTTTTTGAATCTAGGTCCACCATTAGTGTTGAATTTGCAACAAGGACTCTCTACAGGTTGGTTCCAATGTCTTGGTTTTGATTTTGCTCCTTCTCCTATTGTATCGTACTTTGTGGTTCTTCTATTTAGTTTTGGTTTCCTTGGATATGTACCTCTTTAGGCTCATTTTGGTGCTGCTTCTTATTATTTTGAGATGTTAAGCCATATGCAGTATTGTAATTTTCTACAATTTCTATTTGTAAGACTTACAAGGTAGTACAAAACTTGAGGGGGGTTTGTGTTAGTGACATGATACCATTTTACCTTGGTAAGGTCTATAAGCAATCTGGGGTATTTGATGACATTTGTTCATTTGTCCTGCCCACACGTCTTTAGCACATTCAAACATATTGATCAACCTACTTGCACTTTGATAGACCTATTCTTGATGATGGTTGTAGTTTTGGATAGGCAAAGAGAGTAATAAACGTGCATAGTACACAGTTCCTTTAGGCATGGATAATTTCTAGTTATGTTATAAAAATCAAAAAAGCCCAACTGTTTTCCTCTAAAATCATGGAAGGAAGTCAGCTATAGCATTAATTTTGAAGGAATCTTTTGCCTGTTGTTCCAAATTTCCAATACGCTTGATTTATCTCGAGGAGAAAGAGAAGTGGCCCTATAAGTTATCACAACTAGTCGTGATCTATTCACCAACACCCCCCCCCCCCCAAAAAAAAAAAAATGTGGCTAGGAAAATGAAGTTTTATTAGGATCACACAATTAGTTACAAACTAGGTCAAGATTAGATCAGAACCCAGGGCAGGATGACATGCACATTTCAATAAATGGCCCAAATTTCACAAGTTTCAGCCCTAGTTCTAACGGAAGAAAGAACTTTTTGGAATGAATTAGAAACAGTGCAAAAATCATGTTGAATTTGTAAATCGAATCTTGTCTAAAAGATTTCAACTCAAACCAGCATCTAGATGCAAGTAATAATTCCATAAAAATCTGAATAACAATGTAAATGGACAACGAACCTCCTCATGTGACGGTAATGAGTATTGTAATGGATATTGAGGGTGTTCAAGAGTTAAACGGACCAATTTCTGCACTGCCACAACAGCAATTTAGGATTTAATGGATAAAAAATTAGGAAGGAAAGAAAAAAATGAGTTAGAAAAAAAAAATGCACAACACACAAACAAAATAGAAGAAATAAAATAGTAAAACAAAACAGAAAAACACTTGCAGGTAGTTTCCCAAATATTTAATCAAACAAGAGAGAATGATTCAGTACAAACTTTGATCAAAAAAAAAAAATTCAGTACAAATTAGTAATTAGGACACAACATTAATAAATTGCTTACAAATCAACTATGAGATTTTACACGTACACATAAGAAAATATGCCCCCTCAAAAAGCTCAGTACTTCACTCTAGCTATAGCCATCATTGCTATATGTTATTCAAATCAAACCTGTTCTGGGGACTCGGTGTCTGATGACTTCTTATTGAACTGCTCACTGGCATCGCGATTAGAATGGCATTGCATCACTTTATCGAAAAACTGCAAAGGAAAAAGAATGATTATCATCACCATCTTCTTAGCAGGTTGGCCAAGAGCACACAATAAAGAGCTGGATTCCTAAGGTCCAGTGTCCTCTATAGTATAGATTGATTTACCATGGCGATTAGTCAATTAACGGAGCATATATTGGTTCTATGTGCCCCGGTACTATACACCATTCACTTCCAAGAGCTTTTAGTGTTAACTAACGGTTACCTTCAAATCATCAGGCTCGGTAAAAGTCTTCAAAAAAGCAACAAGTGCATCAGTGGACCTCCTTGAAGGATCACTCAAGCAAGACCCAAACTTCTTATCATAAATATTCAAAAACTCTTTCCAATTTCCTTTACTGCCCAGCATTCTGCGTTTCTGGGCAATCTTCACAAGTTCAACTAGAACCTAACAACGTTCACAGAGCATTCAAAAACCGTACAAAAAATCAAATTTCATTTTCAACAAATGCTCTCATAACTAAAAATCATGGCAGGCAAAAAAATATACCTGCGTGTATATTCATGTTTAGAGAGACAGAGAGAGTGAGAGAGAGGTAAGTTTACCTCTTTTCTGGCATCGGCAAGTTTCTCATCCATTTTTACTGAGAGAGAGAGACAGAGGCGATTGGACTTGTCGGAAGTTGCGGCCGTTCAAAAGCAACAAAACCGGGAAGACTGATTTAGGGTTTATAGTACAAGGATTTTCGGAATCGGGACAACTCGGCGTTCTATTGATCTCAATTCAGGTCGGGTTAGTGGGCTTTTATGCTTCTTTCTCCGAATCTGATATGGTTCCCCTTCAACCTAGCAGACATCAGTCCAAATATAAACGAGCAATTCTATTATTGGATCTAATTTATTGACACTTTAAATTCATTATAGACCCCATCAAATATTAAAATTTGGTATTAATTCAATAATTTTTATAAAACTGCATCATTATGTCCGTAAATTAAATCAATTTTTTATGTTCAAATAATATTACTCAATATAAATAGACTTAAACAAACCCTAAAAGTGCACCTCAACGTAACTATATATATATATATAGATACATGTATATATACATATAACAGTAATATTAAAAATAAAAAATAATAACATTCAAATACCAAAAAAAAAATATCATTTAATCACAAAAAATAATATTATTCAAAAATAAAAAAATAATAATATTGTACATTAACTAGTCATAACCCACCTAAAGGCATGATGAAACATAAGGGCCTATTTGATTTGTGTTTCAAAAAATAATATCCGAAAATAATTTTTGAGAAAAATTTTAAGAAAATAGTTTTTATATTTTTTGAGATAAAAAACTTGTTTGATTAGATGATTTCAAAAATAATTTTACAGTACAGAAAATAATAAAACCTGTTTGGACAGCCTAAATATATGTTTAAATAGTAATTCAAACATTAATAAAAAAATATAAGAAAGTTATTTTTAGAATGATAATTTCATAAAAAAAATTCAATAAATCAAACTTTAAAATATAATATATATTATATAATATTATATATATATATATATATATGTATATTATATTATAATAATATTTATATATTATATTATATTGTATATTATGAGAGAGAGGAAGAAGTAAAAAAAAAAGAATGAAGAAATTTGCTGCTAAGGAGACTCGAAGGACAGACCTCATTAAAATCCAAAATTGTTCTCCTTGTTTTTAAAATATTTAAAGAAAACTCTGAAATGACTCAAATTCATTTTTTTCTCAAAATTTTGAGAACAAAAATGCTAAACAACACAGGTTTTGGGTGTTTTTGAAATTTTGAGAACAAAAAACAGTTTTCGAAAAATTAACCAAACATGGCCTAAGATTTTAGGGTTCAAAAAATTGATCCCACTATACCAAATTTTAAATTAATTTTTACATATTATTTCTTAAAAATAGCGCCAAAATTTTCTCAAAATGTATAACTCGATAAATTTTTTTTAACATGTGTACACTATCGTGTATAAATAATGTATAAAAAAAAGTTGTGTTAAACTACAAATTTACTAAATATTAAATGATTGAATATGTGATAGAATTTGATGATGTAATATTTTTGGGGGGGAATATATAGGAATAAAATTCAATTTGCTATATGATTTATTATATAGATATTGAAAAAATAATAGTAGTAAATACTCAATAAAAAATAGTAATATTTAATATTAACATTAAAACAAAAAATAGTAATATTCAAACCCAAACAATAGTACAACTTAAACACAGAAAATAATACAATTTAAACACAAAAATATAGTATCATTCAAACACAAAAATATAGTAACATTCAAAAATAAAAAATAGTAACATTGTCTATTAATATTTGACAAAAAACAATAGTAACATCCTTAACAAAAAATGGTAACATTTAATATTGATATTTTTGAAATAATAGTAACATTCAATATTAATGGTAACATACTTATCAAAAATATAGTAACATTGAAAAATGTAGTAACATGCACAAGCACAACAAACCAAAAATAAGAACATGAAAAAAAAATTGTACTAGTACAACATCGTCTTCTTCACAAAAATACACAATCAACTAAATCAAGACCTAACAGACAATACAACCAACTAAATCGAGACCTACCAAGCAACGCAATAGCAGCAGTCTTAACAAACAACAGTAGCAAAAAAAACGCGCGACGGTCCACATTAACGAACGTAAATAGATCTACTTTGTTTGGGGCCTTGATTGAATTCAAGTTGGTGCATAATTCTACTTGGCATTTTTGACAAAATCTGAGGGCAATTTGAGTGGAATCAAAGCTCTACTTATAATGGGGAAGAAAAAACTCAAAATTGTTGGGGTACAATTAGAATAATGTAGATTATAATTTTAAATTTTATGGTCAAATCTTATGAGCACGAATTAAATATAGAATCAAGGGGCAAAGAATTTGAGTGTTTCCTAATTAGGAAACATAATCAAGCTCTAATACTATTAAAAAGTTATAAGAAATACATTTTGGATTTATAAAAAAAAATAGTGGACATAAATATTTATTATTAAGATAAAAAATGAATTTATCATCAAATAAGTTCCTTTGACGGAATCAAGTCATTATAAGTCCCTTAAGGATGACTCAATCTCAATTTTCACAAAAAACAATGACAAGTTAGTGAAGTTGAAAAATAATAAGATTTTAGTTTTGAATTTTTGATTCATGGGATAATTAAGAATCAATCCAAATACGACATAGTAATAAACAACTCGAAGGACATGTTTGTTTCGAGGATTAAATATGGGTGGTATTGAAAATGTATTCCTTATATTTCTAATACTAATGAAAATTAGTACCAATAATATAAAGTATTTCAATTTGCTCCCATGTTTGTTTGTTTAATAGATACTATGGTGGGTCCCATAAAAAATCATCTATTCTATCACATCTTGTATAACAAATATATCATTTTATTCTTAACATCATCATTTCCATTACTCTATTTGTGTAACGTTTTTGCACAATGTTTGGTATAATATGTCACAACCCGAATTTTTTTTTTCTTTCAAAAAAATACCCAGGTGTGAGTCAGAAATGAAATTACACCGAACTTACAATAACATTTCTTATATTATTTTATTTCCCATACGACTATATAATCTTCACAAAGATCATTTCAAATTTTCTTAATATAACGTAAAGAGAAATAATAATAGCAGACTCTATTTATCATCCTTTCAGCCTATCCTTCAGCTCGACTTCATATATCTGAAAAATGTTAAATATGGATGAGCTCACCAGCTCAGTAGGATAACGTTTATCAATGACTACCAAGGTTTTAAAAGAATGCATAATATAATTAAACTGCGAATAAATGTAGGAATAGAGCAAATTAATGAATCAAATAAATAAATAAATTGCAGCACATATCGATCATATCAATCCGTCAATTTTCTGGTCCACGCATGAACCGCCTCTGGAGAAAATTTTGGGGTCTTGCACCCTAGGGAATCCAATACCCTTCTTGCTTTTCTAGAAACAGCAATACCAAAAATTATGTGGTGCCACACAGGCTACTAAGACAACCGATATTACTAACCGGTGAATCTAAGGACTAGTTGGAATCCAGTGAATCCTTGCAAAGGTCACGCATCTACTAATCATCTGTCATCGATTATGTGCATTTATAATAATTTCATCAAAATCACAAAATAAAATCATATCGTAGTCAGACTCCACAACAAATCAAACATTAAATATTAATAATAAAAAAAAAATTATTATGCAACGTGGTTTCATGAGATAATTAGGGTCTCGATAAAAATACAATATGTGCATGATAACGATTTATTTATAAAAGCTCAGTTTGACCCCATGATTATAGCGATATAATATTACATTATATAATTTAAAATATATTTGATATGAAACCCCCAAATATTCATGAAATGCATCAATAATAGTAAAAGATAAAAGAAACCCTACCTCTTTCTTGACTTCTATTCGATACCGTGTACTGTAACAAAATAACTAAAATAATATTTTAGAATAACAATATGTAATAAGGGCTTAGTTAACCTAAAATAATTTTTGGAATAACTAATGAAAGATAATGATATTTAAATTTGATCCAAAAATATTTAATGAAGATCAACTTTAAGTGACTCGAACATATAAAATTTACTATATAATAACTAAAAAATCTTACCTAAAATTTTGATTGTAACCGCAAACTCTTAAGTCAACAAAATTTTTGACCCCTTTTTCCTCTTTCCTCTGTTTCTCCGTTCCTTTCTTCCTCCCTTTCTCTTTTTCCTTGTGCCATTTAGTGTACTGATCTTGGCTATTTATAGCCAAGATTTACTTGAGGACCAAACATTCTCATGGACACTTGTCCATTGCTTCACAATTTTTTTTTATGCACGTTTTTACTGTTCATGTCCTTTAATCTTTATATAATATATATATCTATTCATTCATTATGTATATATAGACATATTTATTCGTTACGAAATTTGACCTAATTTATAGTTATTTGACTCGTTTTCACGTGAAAAGTCTATATTTGGGGTCCATTTGTTCATAAAAAAATATATATTATTATTTATTTATATTTATATATATTTTTTAAAAAAATAAATTTTAATTATATAAAAATCAAAATTGATGACCTAATTAATGTGTTAATGATTTATGCATATATGGATTATCACAATCTACCCCCCTTAAAAAGAATTTCGTCCCCGAAATTCGATACTAACCTTGAGAATTAAAAAGACACGGATATCTTGTACGCATATCTATTTTCAGTTCCCACGTGGCTCCTTCAACACCATGATGTTGTCATAACATTGTTACAAATGGTATGACCTTGTTATGTAATACATGCTCCTTAGTGTCGAGAATCTGTACAGGTTGTTCTTCGTACGTTCCATTTCTTGAATTCGGACATCCTTCCAATTGACGATGTGAGATGCATCTGGTTCACATTTCCTTAACATGGATACATGAAACACATCATGTATTCCTCACATAGGCGGAGGGAGGTTGGGGCCAAAGTGGACACGTGCCCCCCCTCAATTTTTTTTATTAGTTAGATGTATGTATTATATATTTATACATATATATTA